AGTGTTGTCAGTTTACGGTTTCCTGAAAGATAAAAAGTTTGATCAGGATTTCTTAAGTATACTTTCATCTAAATTACTATGATACCATTTTGGCTGGGGGTAGATGTGAAGGGTTAGAAAACAGGAAAGAGGAGATAAGTTTATGTTAAGAATAAATTAATTCCTATATATTACATTTTTGTAGTATTCTGGTTAAATAGAATTTTATCAGTCTTTCTAATGGTATTTTTGGCTGAAGAAACACTACTTTTTAGACACCTTAGGTAACTGGCTGTGCTTTTACTTAAATTAAGTAATTGATCGAAATACTGTTGATTTAAATTTTAAAGTTCAGACAAGCTGATTGTGTAGAAGCTATACCAAGGCTTTCTTTTCCAGGAGAATGGAAGCAGTCTGCTTTGAGGTGTTTGAGAGAACTAGCAGCTCCTATACTATTGCCTGCCGTGATTTACAGATTTGTACATTCTACCTAGGAATACAAGAAGCTAGATTTACTGACACAGTGGTTTCTCATGCCTGTTTTTACGTTGCCTTACGTATAGTTGCTGCTATCTTTAATAATTCGTCTTTCTTTTTCTAATGGTAATTTCATTCTGATGTCTTCGTTTCTATTATGTTTTTAATTTTTTATAAATCTTGAATTTTGTGTTAATTTTTTTTTTAAAATCTGCTGGTTTACGATTCCATTTTTTTTCTGTTCTTTAATCAGTAGAAGCATACCAATTGAAATGCAGGCATTCACTGACAATTTCATGATACCATCATGAATTGCCTATTTTTCTGAAAAAGTCCTTTTCTTTCTAGCACTTTATGTCATATTATTTTAAGCAGTTTGATGTAAATAGAAGGTAAAAACTTGAACTGCATTAACAGCATTGGTGTATCGTTTTATGTAAGAGTTTCAGCTCAACCTCATCTAATCAGAAGAGCACATAGTCAATGATGCCTTAGGAACCTTAATAAAATACATCAGGAGCAGAATAAAAGGAGGATCAACTTGCAGCACCCTGGCTTTCCTGCAGCCAAGTGATGAAGTGTCTTATAATAAAGCTGGGATAAAAAGGCAGCTTTCTTTAGGTTTTAATTAGTAGTAGGTTCAGACTGTTCTATGTAGTGCGGATTTTGAATACCAGTCTATAATGATAAAATCTTGCAAGGTCTCTTTATCTATTTCTGAACAAAAAACCAGGTCTCATCTTTCACCATTATTTTAGGAAGTATATGATATAAGCTGCTTCCTCTTGGGATTTTTTTGATGTTTAAATTAGTGGTAAAATTGTGTGCTGAAGTTACTTTTAAGGCCAACACAAGTTGCTAATCATAATATGCCAGAAACGTGGAAGGAGAAAGCAATGGCCAGCTTTGGTTTAAGACTCATTTCAGTCTAAAAGTAAAGAATATTAGAATAAATTTAATGTGAGGAAAAAGATCTGATTACCTGTCAATTTTATGTGCATGTGTTAATCACCTTGACAACTAAGCATCATTATGAAATCCCAGGTGTGGGCATCTGATTATGCAGAACTGTAGTTATTTTTTACGTGCAAAGTGGTTACTCAGAAGTACTACCAATTGCAGTGATACAGATGTCATATAGGCGATATAATGAAAGTGTAATTTCATAGAAGTACATCTCTGAGGAATTATTAATATAGACCTGGATGGTTGCAGAGGTGATGGCACAAGAACTTTATTATGGATATAAGTATCAAGGGTTCCATTCAAGACAGTTCAGGTTCAAAGAAACTATGCCTGATGTTGTTCTATGTTTGTGTTTGTTCTGTTTTGGTTTTTTTTTAAAGGGTTTTATTAGGCTCCCTGGGCTTTTTATTAAATGAAATTAAAAAGACAATGCAGCATAATTCCAAAAACGTTGTAATGGATAAAAGTCTGGTTTCCTTAGGCTATAAGAACTTCACTAAATGTTCAGAATATCTCTTGGTTAGTTGTTCAGGCAAATTTGAAACCCTCCAGATTACTTCAGGTAATAAAACAGTCAATGTAAGGTATCATGCACATAAAGTGGCACTATCTTTGAATCAGTACCCCAAAAGTATATCCCTGAATCAGGTACCCCAAAAGAAAAAAGCATACATAGAAAAACATAAATTCAAGAACTGAGCCTTGTGGGAGTCTCTAAACATTTGAATCTGATTGGAAGAAAATCCACACAAAATAATAAAGTGGGAGTCATTTTCTGATCTTCTCCAGAATCCTAGTCTGCTTCATTTTACCATCAGGGATAGAGAAGAAAAGCTTTTAAGTCAGCCAGCATCAGATTGATTCATAAAGCAAACAGGAAAAGTATTATGAGGCAAGGCTTCATGCTATGATAGACATCTAGGAGTACTCATCTTTGGCAGCCTATTCATCTTTGGCTAAGGGGGTGGAAACTCTGGTTTGTCTCCCTGGGTAATGTGTGGAATCCTGTTTATACTCCAACTCAGTTTATATGGCCTTGGGGAGCAAAGTCTGGTCTTAGAATTAGCTGTAATTTTTGCTGATCAGATAGTGGTATGACTGGCCAGCTATTTTTCCATGACTTTTGTAGGAGAACTGTATGACAGTCTATGACATACTTTTATTTTTTAAAACATTTGTGTAGTGAAAGTACTTGTATCATCTGAGACAAACAGCTGGTGGTGATTGAGAGATTCCCTATATAGGTGATTTGCAAAGATTTCCTTCTTTTTATAATGTGGAGAATTAGTTGTAAATAAAAAAAACAGGGAAAAAAGGACCATTCAGATATACTTTTTCATAAATGCCTAGTGCAAAATTAGAAAGTCACTGTTGTCATATGTTAGAGGTAGTTTAAATATACATACATATATCTGCAATATTTAATGTAATAAAAAAAGCATGCAGGCCTACTTTACTTCAGGTATGCATTCACACACGTGCATATAATCTGACTCTTGCAGGCAGTACTGTAGTTTATCAAGATATCAATAGGCTATTTCAGGTCAGAATCTAATTTAACAGTTTATCTAACCATTATGTTTTTGTGCATCCCTTCTCTGGAAACAGCAGAGTGAGCAAAATAGAACTGGCAAGACAGAGCATATCCAGCTGCTCTTCTTTATATTGCCAGGGTTCCTAAGAGCTTCAGTAATTGACTATGGTGTCATTGTTAGCTATGGTACAAATAGGGGATGAAAAACTGCCCATGCCCCCCGACATTTGTGGGCTAAAATCATGAACAGAGGAGTCTGAAAAATGAGGTCAAACTGGTGGGATCTAAATGCTTTTAATTTACCAGCCATTTGACTGTAACTTGGCTACTTAACTGTAATGCTACAGATCCCAAGTATTGATGCATTTCTGCACACATAAAATTTTCTGTTACCTACGGGCAGCTTCTTTAACTAAAAATGCATGCCAAACCTGACAATTTTGGGATGGGTGTCTTGATATTATGTCCTGTCATATACTACGTTTCAAGTTAAGTGATCTATATTCAGTTAAATGGAGCACATGTGACTAATTTGTCTCTTTCCGTTATTTTAATATACGAGGCCACACAACTTTTTTGAACATATTTTATGAAGATGTTTATTATCAATACATTTTAATTGAACAATGTGCCCCAAATAAATCCTACTATAGTCTTTAAAGAGTGATTGTTTCTCAAAGTCATTGATAAGCCATGTGCTTGTTGCTAAACAGAACAAGAAACTGATTGATAGTTTGTGATACAAAAAATTATGTCTTTTAAGCTTGTGGATTATTAGGTAGGTGAGACCCAGAAATGTGCTCACAGTCCATAGTTGATTATATTTTTGATTGTTAGTCTATCGATTGACAAGGTGTACCTTGTTTGCTTCACTCAAGAAAAGTGGATTTGAGAGATGGGAGTAAAGATAATTAGGACCCACAGTGTTATGCTTTTTGATGGTTTCCCCCTCCCCCCCCAAAATTTATGAGGGTGAGCTGGGAGAGGCATAATTGGAAGACACAGTAGCTCAGGTTCTGGAGTCAGCTAATGTCTTTGTGATGAGTGAACCTAGCTTCTCAGCCTACCAGGCATAAATGTATGTTTCATGGTTATAAAGCTAGTTCAAATATGTATGTGGAACACTGGGATAGAAAGAACAGGGAGAGAAAGACATCTGCCATGGCAGTCCTGTCCTTCAGAAGGAAAGGACTCTAAAGGACTAGAAACAGGTCTGTATCTGTCCTGTTCCAGTTTTGTTTCCTAATAAACTGCTCAGACAGTTTGTGGGAGGCATATAAGCATCATCAAATTCTGAAACAATGATGTTTCATTACAGCTTTACATTGTTCTATGTAGGTAAGTGAGTTTTTTTTATTGAGATACCTCATACCGAGACACAACTCCTGTGTTTTATAAGAGACCAAGTGCTGCCAATTTTATCCTCTTCTTTTATAAAGACCAGTAGATGTTAGTTCTGTTAACTGTATGTCTTAACTAAATGCAATCTATTTTTCTTTTACCTGTGGATTAAGATGCATTAAAAATTGTATGAAAATGTGAAAACTGAAATGTAATTGCTACTGTAGAAGGTGCTGCATCAACCCACTATATAATTATTATCCTTAAAATGTCAAATTTAAATGTCTTCAAACTGATTATTTCAGATATTAGAGGAAAAAACAAGACGAAACTACAGTAAAAGATTTTTAAATTACTTCAGTGTTTGAATTAGTAAGACAACTGAATTAACTACGTTTTGATGTTATGGCAGAAACAGCAGCATTGTATTTGGACTAAGAAATTACTTGCTGGCTTTGTCACCGTTGACATTAATTATTGATAGGGGTTTCGGAAATAGCGCATGTGCTGTCAGAGTTGACTGTAATATAAGAAAGGGACTGCAGCAATGCTAGAGGGATTATAGAGAGGGAAGCACCTGTAGCATTTGGAGTTACATGCTTCTAATCATCAGACTTTTATTGAGTTGTAATAAATGCATATGAGAGATTAAAATAATGGAAAGATGAGTCGTCAGACTTATTTCTATCGTGTCCCTCCACAGGAATTACATAGAAGAACCCAACTTCAGCCTGAGCCAGCAAAGACGAAGGCTCTTCAGACAGTTATTGAAATGAAGGTATGGTCTTTGCATGTTTTCCCATACATTATTTTTGTAGTATGAACTCATGTACTGGATCTGGCTGGGATGGAGTTAATTTTTGCTTCTTCGTATGTTTTGAATTTGGGACCAAAACTGCATTGATATCACACTTATGTTTTAGCTGTTGCTGAACAGTGCTTACACAGGGTCAAAGCTTTCTCAGTTTCTGACTCTGCTCCCCTGCTCCCCAGTAATTAGGTTGGGGACGGACAAGAGGCTGAGAGGGAAGGCAGCTGGGATAGCTGACCTGAACTGACCAAAGGGATATTCTGTACCATAGAATGTCATGCTCAGTAATGAAACTGAGGGGAGGACATTCAGAGTTATGGCATTTGTCTTCCCAAGTTAAGTGTTATGCATGCTGAAGCCCTGCTTTTCTTGAAATAGCTAAGCATCTGCCTGCCAATGGGAAGTAGTGAATCAATTCCATAATTTGCTTTGCTTGTGTGCGCAGCTTTGCTTTACCTATCAAACTGACTTTATCTCAAGCCATGAGTTTTCTCAATTTTGCCTTTCTGATTCTCTCCTCTGTCACACTGAGGGGGAGTGAATGGGTGGCTATGGGACACTTAGCTGCCTACCAGAAAACCACAACACCTCGATTTAATTTTTGCTGTTAAATACTTCTTTTTACTTCTCAACTTATTTGCTGTGAAGGTAGGAATACTTAGTATTTCTTTCTTCCAATCTGTTTTCTTAATAAGACTTTATTAAAAAAACCCAAGTGAGCATTGCTGAATAATGGGAACTAAATATTACTTTTAGAAAGACTTGGGGTGTGTATGTCAGAAGTTTCAGGTGAGCCAAAGTTAGATGGAATAAACTGGCAAACAGAAGCAAATACAAACTATTCAAGGTAAAATGTTTTTCTTCTTGATCCTTTAAAACAATGCTTCTGTTGGTGGTTATTTGGCCACCATTTTACATCTAACCTAATGAAAATATTCATTGCATCAGCAGAGTGATATGACAAAATGTGACGGAACTCCTGTCTTAGTCCTGCATATAGATTCCTCTTTTCAATATATAATATTACTGAAGTGTTGTGGCTTTTTCCCCCACAATAACGAAAGACAAAAATAATAATTTAAAAAGTGAAAACTGATATTTTTACATAATTCTATGAGTCTGGAATATACATCTTTAAGGAAAATACCATGAGACTTGAGATAATTTGTGAGTTGGCAATGTTGTCTGAAATACATTAATGATGGTCTTTCATTTCAGTCTTAAAAGGAAGTGCAAATTAAAGGCCTCATTTTGCCAGTGACTTCTGTTATGAGCAAATGACTTCAGCATGTCTGAACATTGTGGTAAATACACAGTTACAACAACAGCAGGACTTCATAAATACAGTATCTGCCTTTTAATAGATAATAATTAGTTTGGATTACACGAGTAACAAATTAGATACATTGATTTCAGTATTCCATATTCTGATGTGTGTTTGCCTTGGACAGTCCCTGTTTATTCTAGTTCGGAAGTCTATGTATGAAATCTAAAACGTGTGTTCTTGCAGTAACTTGTTACCCTAAGTATGTGGGAACATCAGATACTGGCTGAGAAACTTGTTTCTATTAATATTCAGAATTATAAATTTAAAAGTTTTGGGATACAGAGATAGCGTGTTAGAATAATTTATGATCTTCCATGTGGGTTATTAACAATGTAAAGGTTATATTGCAAAAAAACCTTGCAATTCCTCTTCCTATACCAAAACTCTTCGTGAAAAGAACGGGGGAAGGGGGGACGTGACACATGTGATAACTGCAGCCGCAGCCACTCTGACAATGTCTGTCCCTGAAGACAGTAAAGTCTTTTCTTTTTGTCTCCCAGGAGAGTTGGGAATGGTGCAATCTTCCACTTTTTAAAAATCTGATCTTTGTAATGAGGGCTTTAATTTGTCATGGGCGAGGCTGTGATCGTGTTGCTGGAGCATTCTGATGCGGAGCTGCCTTTTGGCTCTGAGGCACACAGTTCTTTCTTTTCCTATAAACACATGCTCCTTTGGGGTTGCCCTGTCTAAAATAGGCCTAATACTGAAAAGAAAAAGGGACAAATGTAAGATGTTGAAATCCACATGATTAAACAGCAGTTTTCATTACAAGTTCCAGCTTTGGAATGTTCTCAAGTAAATTTAAATTGTCTTAATCCAGACAGTATTTGTTTTGAAAAAATATGGAACATTTGTTTCGAATGAT